TTCAGGCAGTGTCTGGGGAGCAAAGGCTTAAATCTGCATCCTATGATTATAGATTAAATTGGTTGTATCACCTATATTCTCACTAGAAAAATAAAGTTTTTTAAAAAGTCATAGCTGCTAGCTCCATCTTTAAAGACAACTGAGAAAGCCAAAAGACTTGTACTAATAACTATGCCTTAACTAAAACTCTGCAGTAATGGGTGATGTGGCCTTTGGGCCTTCAGTACGGAGTTGTTGTGTATCTTGGATTGCTGATTTAAAAGGTCTAAGGCAGAGTTTTCCAAACTGTGTGTTGTGGCATGTTAGTGTGTCAGCTGTAGTATGTAGGTGTGTTATGCGAATGTAACAATACACTTCTGAGTCTATGAGAAATAACCAATAAGTCATATGTTTAAAAAAATATAAATGAAAAATGTTCATGAGAAATATTGTGTTCCCATGCATTTTGTTATTACAATTTATGTAATATAAGGGGTTAGTTGAGCCTCCAATTTGCTGATAAAGCTTAATTCTGTGTCATTAAATGATAGGTAAAGGTTTCCCCTGACATTAAGTCTAGTCATGCCCGACTCTGGGAGTTGGTGTTCATCTCCATTTCTAAGCCGAAGAGCCAGTGTTGTCCATAGACACCTCCAAGGTCATGTGGCCAGCATGACTGTATGGAGCAACGTTACCTTCCCGCATAAGCAGTACCTATTGATCTATTCCTGGGGTCCTCAAACTTTTTAAAGAGAGGGCCAGGTCACAGTCCCTCAAACTGTTGTAGGGCCGGATTATAATTTAAAGAAAAAAAAAGAAAGAATGAATTCCTATGCACACTACACATATCTTATTGGTAGTTCAGAAAACACTTAAAAACAATACAAGAATTAAAATGAAGAACAATTTTAAAAAATATAAACTTATTAGTATTTCAATGGGAAGTGTGGGCCTGCTTTTGGCTGATGAGATAGGATTGTTGTTGTTGTTGTGTTTTCAAGCCATTTCAGACTTAGGTTGACCCTGAGTGAGGGCTGGCTAAATGACCCTGGAGGGCCATATCCAGCCCCCGGGCCATAGTTTGAGGACCCTTGATCTATTCATATTTGCATGTTTCCGAACTGCTAGATTGATAGAAGATGGGGCTAACACCACTTACTTATGGAAGATGATCTGCCAAGTACAAATAAAAGGAACCCCGCTCCTAGGATTTGAACCGCTGACCTTTCAATCAGCAAGTTCAGCAGCTCAGTGGTTTAACCTACTGTACCACTGGGGGCTCCAGCATGAATGAAATGATGCATGTCTCAAAAGTCTGTCACCAATATAAAATGGTTGGAAAGCTCTGGTCTAAGGAATGATCATAAAGGAGACACCTTACGTTAGACAAAGCACATGTTAATAACCCCAGTAACAAAATTAATCCCAGGTGTCATTCTGCTATAGCCAGTATATTCAGAGCAATCTTCTTACTGCCCTGTGTTGGATAGACTGTAAAAGAGGCATATGTCTCTACAGTCTGCAAAACAGCTGGAAGGCAAACAGTACTTAGATCATTGTTGCATTTGAAAATAGAATATCCCCAGGGTCCCATCTCTTCCAGCAGGGCTCATGATACTTTGTTTACAATTGCCAACTTAGAGGATGACACGGCAGGAGGCAAACCGCCAAATAACGTCATTCTCTGTTTCTTGGTCAGTTGCCAACCAAGGAAATGAATTTATCTACAAGCTTAAAGCTTAAGCTTAAATTCTTGACCCACCACCACTTTAACTTATGGATGATGATCTGCCAAGTACAAATAAAAGGAACTAAAATCAAAATCTCATTTGCTTGTTTGTGTAGTAAATATAGTTTTCTTTGAAAGGAGAAATCCAGTTTTGGTAGAAAGTCGGGGTTGTAAATAAATAAATAAAGAAGAATGAAACCGTTGTGGTGAATAAAATTGGCTTAGAGCTAATGAATCACTGGTTGGATTAGTATAAACTGTTGAAGATTCATGACTTGTAATTGCAAAATTAAAACCCATTTCCCTAAATCAAAACACAAAATCTAATTAAAGCAATCACATAAGGAAAAATGGTTCTAGAGTCTGTAAATAAACATAATGCCTGAAGTGGACCCAGGGTTGGCCTGGGATATCAGGAAAAGGAGAAAAGAAGTGGAACATTTTAAAAGAAGCTGAAAAAAAAGGATGATAGAAGATAAAGCAGGACTGCCTATGATGAATCAGGACAGTCAGAGGGTATACGACAGTGCATCCAGAATTGGAATACTGTGCACAGTTATTGTCAGCACACTTCAAAAATATTACTGTAGGGCTAGAAAATCCTTTAGACAACTAAATGGAAACACGAGAAGAGATGGAATATAATACATGGTGTATGGAAAGTAGATACATTACACTGGAAGCTAGGATCAATGAATGGTAGGAGATTCACGACAGATATGACTTTATCCCATTGGGGTGAGATGTAGTTAGCATCATGCAAGCGTGGCATTTAATCCTGTAGTGTTGCAAATCACTATATTCCATTATTAATGACTTAACACATGTTGTCTGAATTTGCTGGTTTCTCAGTAACTAACCATTTTTTTCCTTATCCCACAAGCGAGTGTGTTGACTGCCTCTCCCCCTGCCCTTTTACAAAAGGGTCTTGCTTTGACATCACTAGGGATCGAACTCTCATGATATTGAGATTTGCTTTTTAAAAGGGATAAAAAAACAGAAAACCTTGCTATTAAAGGCAGAGAAAATTAAGGATAAAGTCCACAAAATGACTTCTTCACATAGATCACTACTGCTAGGATTTGCTATGACAGGGATGGGAGCCCCCAGTGGCGCAATGTGTTAAACCATTGTGCTGGCAGGATTGCTGACCAAAAGGTCAATGGTTAGAATCCGGGGAGCGGGGTGAGCTCCTGTCTGTCAGCTACAGCTTCTGATGCAAGGACATGAAAAAAGCCTCCCATAGGATAGTAAAACATCTGGGCTTCCCCTGGACAACATCTTTGCAGACGGCCAATTCTCTCACACCAGAAGCAACTTGCAGTTTCTCAAGTCGCTCCTGACACACACAAAAAAGGATAAGGATGTTTACCAATGATAAGGATGTCTACCAGCTTTAAAAGGGGATTAAACCTATTCATGTAAGAGAAGTCAATGACTACTAGTTAAGATAGCATCATTTCCAGTATCAGAGGATGTCTACCTTGGTACGTCCATTGCTAGGCACACATGTTAGGAGTGAGTGATTACACTTGCATCTTGCTTGCTTCTGCCACTTAATAGTGTTAGGAGAATGTGTGACCAGATGAGTATTTTGGCTTTTCTTATACAAAAAAAGATTCTTCTTATGTTCTTGCGCTCTTAGCAGTTTCGTGTTCCCCTCTTCATTGGCTTTCCATATATTACTAGAACAGCAGAGGAGATAATTCTGTATTTGTTGGATTTTACCCATCTCTGGCAACCTCTGTATGGAAAAATCATGAGCTTCAAAAGATTGCTGTCATTCTTTATCATTCCTTACATGGTTCTTATCATTCCTTACATGGTTTCCTCATGTCATACTGAACATGGGTTATTTTGTCACCTTATAAAGATGGTATAATTGGAACCTAGTGATACAGGCACCATTATTGTGTTGTGTGCCCCTGACAGGTATTATCTGAGCATTTTAGCCTTGTAAGATGGCTGTCTTGCACTTTTGGGTTGTAAAAGCCTGGACAGGTACGAGACTGTTTTGTCCAGAAAAGAGATGGTCATTATGCATAGGCTTTGTCATTCGACTATTGCTGGAGGATATCCGTAATGTATCACATCCCATTGCTGTCCCTAAGCATAGCAAGTATCCTCTTGCCTTTAATGGAAGTGCTGAGAAAGTCAGGACCAAATAAGGATTTGGTCCATGGTTTATATGTATAGTCAACACAATAATACTAACGGATCCATCAACATACATTTGGACTGAGTCATTTAAAATGTCCTTGGCTCCATGCTCTTTAAAGAACAGACTGAAGCCAAATCTAGAATATTTTTGGCTGCAAACCAGCACACCTTTATCCGGTTTGAATTCTAACAGGGGCATATTACTTAACACAGTTTTGTTTTATTGTTCTTGTGATGTCCCACTAGAGTCTTACATTATATAAACAGAATACTACTGAGGCTAGATTGCACAAACTGAGGTGGCATAATTTAAGGCAGTGCTTCACAATCTCTAGTTCATCAGGTATTTTGAACTGCAACTCCCAGAATCCTTGAGCACTGCTCCTTATTGGCTAAGCCTTCTGGGAACTGAAGTAAATAATATCTGGGAGTGCTACTAATTTAATGGATCCAATATCCCTGCCCAAGCCTAGAAACTGGACAACTGGGAAGTAGGACAGAGGTGGCAGTATTAGGAAGTTTTCTGAATATATTCCAATAGCAATTGTTGGCTTTTGAGGGCTGGGGAATGTAAAGCTGTGTCAAGCTGTGCCTACTGTTCCACTGCCATGAAAAAATCTCCTCAATAAGATATTTAATTACTTTTTTTTACAACTTTGGAAACAGTAGCAAGCTAGCAGAACACCCTGTTGATTTTTTAAATCATTATTGTTGTTGTTTGTTTATTTATTGAAATAATTAAAAATTTTAAAAACACAATAAATACAAAGCCCTGTGGATTTGAACCTTAAATCAAAAACTTCACAAATATATAAAATTCTAATTGATAAAAGTAATAGATATTTAAGCTGTGGTACCATCCTGTAAACAGTAAAACTTTACTAGATTTGGCTCAAAATTGAATTGTTTAAATATATAAGGTAATATTAAATAGCACAATTTGATACCTTTAAGTGTAATAAAAGAAGAAGAAAAAACAAGACTATTATGAAAGAAAAAAGTAGTAAGTGAAAACATAAAATAATTGTTTCCCCAATTAAAATTATGTTTTGAAATCTGTTTAGTTTAACACCATTATCACTGCATATTTTAAATTAAATGTTGACATATCAAAAGAGACAGAGTAACTTACATGAGGTATGAGTTCTCATCAAATCATGAAGGTCAACAGCAAACCTGTGGATCTGGCTATGGAAGTGTTGGGTAGAATTCTTGAGAAGGAAAATATCATTAGAATGGATTGCTATGGTTTTGTTCATCTTATTGACACAGTTCCAAAGACTGGAGATATGTTTATTCAATCCTTCCTTTATTCTTTGAAGGCTGCTAGATACCGAATCTAATTTGTTGCAAGTTTTCTCAACATGGGACACTCTTCTCTCCATGTCTGTGATGCCTGGAAATCTATCCTTACATTTCTTCAGGTTATAAAACCCTTTCTCATTTAACTGTTCCATCTTCTCCTTCAGGTCATTACAACAGTCATCACTTTGATAAATAGTTTGATTGCCTACTGTTTTTTGTATTTCATCTATCTTTCTGAATACACCAAGCTGTGTCTTTTCACAAGTAGAATTGATACCCAGGAGCTGTTCTTTGCAGCTGTTCAGACCACCTTGAAGGGTTTTCACATCTCTGTCAACAACATTTAGACCATAACGAACTATTCGTAGGTCTTTCTGAAGTTTCTGAATATCACGTTGGCTGCCTTTAAATAAATTAAATTTCTCATTTAGAGAGTTATTTAAAGATTTTAAGAGACCCTGATTGTTCTCTGTTTTTAGAAACAGAAAATCATATTTGCTGTTACAGTTTTCTATGTCTTCACGGAGGCCTTCCATATTCTGTGGTACAAACTGGCACTTCTGCTGACATCGATTTTCCACATCCTGTAGTTTTTTCTTTATGGCAGTGACCTCTAATGCAAGCTGCTCATTTCTGGATCCTGAACTGCTGTGTAAAATTGGTCCTTGACCAGTATATATTTCATCTGGATTTGTGTCATTAACAATATCGAGAAAAGTAGCACCAAGTCTATTTTCCAACGCCTGAAGTTTCTTGTCAAATAAGTCCTTTACTTCATCTACTTCAGTTGCTATAACACCACGAAGGGTTTCCTCAATGTAAAAACAGTGTTCTTCAGCATTTTTCTCTGTAACGTTAAGTCTTGCTTCCACTTCCTCCCATTTTGCATCAAAGCTGCCTTCTGAATATGGGCTGGAAATATGCTTTATTTCATTATCTATTCTGGCATTTAAAATTTGGTTTGCATCTGCAACTCTGTCAATCTTTTCATTCAAATGGTTTATCAGTTGTACAGATTCATCACTATTAATATTCTTACAACACAATGACTGGTTTGATGGCAATTCAATTAGACTCTGAAAATATTTTATTTCTTTTTTCAGTTCCTTTTCTTTTTCTCCAATAAGTTCTCTCAGTCCGGAGCAGCTGGCTTCATGATCATCACAGTGTTGCTGAAGATCATTCAGTTTGTACTCACAAGAATTTTTCAGATCTGCCATTTTCTTCTCAAATCCTTCTAACATTTCCTGTCTCAGGGCTTCAAACTTAGCATCTATATATGTTTGATAGAACTGGCTGCTAGGCATAGTTATGGTTGGGCCTTGAGCAGCTTCTTGGAGCTGTTTCAGTTGTCCTTCATAGACATTTACCTCCTCGTTCAGTTCTTCCAGCTTTTCATTTCTGGCCTTCAAATCATCTTTATCTTCAGCTTCTTCAGATTTCTCATTGTCTTTTCCAGATCCAGTTTGGTTTTTATTTCTAGACAGATGACTATTCTCTGTGTCACCTTCACCTGGATTGTCAGGCCCTGGGTGGTCATGAAGATTGTTTAGCCATGAGACAAGCATGCGACTTGCATCTTCTTGCACAGAAAGCTTCAGGTTTTCGTTCACACCTGTTAAGGAGGATTGAAGTTCTAGTACTGTCTGGGTAAGTCGAAACAATTCATCCTCAAGGAACTGAATTTTTTTATCCTGTGCATCCTGTTGTTCTTGTTTTGGATTAGAGTCTGTGGAAAGAAAAAAAAAAGGGGGGGGGAGAATTTGTAATCATTTCAATAATGTGAATAACATAACAACAATTTGCAAATAGCACTATTAAATTATAAGCAGATGGGAGTCCCAATAATTCTGGTTTCCCACACTCTGGGTCCTTCCAGATAGGGCCCATATCCCACGACCTGTCAGAGTTTTACCTGAGGCATCCAAACAATGCCTCAGGTAAAAGCAAAGTAATTGGAGACAAAGCAAGTAAACACTTCTTTGTCCCAAATTACTTTGATGCTTCATTAGACCTGGGCCTTCCTGAAAGCCCATTTTCCTCCCAGGTTGTGAAGATTTAAACCTGCTCTGAAGCGGGTTAAATTTATGTCTGGAACTGCCCGTTGTCTTATATGTTAAGTAAAACTTACCGGGTAACCATTATGCCTCTCTGCAGGCCTCCTGGAATATACTAATGATCTAGGAGGAGGTAGGGGGAATCACTCCTTGCCCCACCTCCTATTAGTATGTCATTGGCACATTCCAGAAGGCCTGCAGAGAGACCTAATGGCAACCCGGTAAGTCTTTATTTTTAAGGCTTGGTGTGAGGGGCGGGAGGAGTTGGGTGGGCTGATGCCATCCCAAAAGTTTGCTGGATGGCATGGAGACAACCAATTGGCAAAGCCCATATTTCCCCCCAGGGTCTGGGGACTTAAACTGTTCTGAAGCGGGTTTAATTTATGTCTAGAAGTGCCCTTTGTATTATCTGGCCAGGAAAAGGAACAAACCAAAATTCTGTTTTATTTCAGCAAACTCCTAATTTCTTATTATGTGAAAACCATTAGCCATAGTTTAAAATAAATTAAACTGTAGTCAAATATTAAATACCGCAAGGCAGTAACAATGCCTGGAATGCTTTGCTACCTGTTTTGCAGTTAATATAATTTTAGTTTTAAATCTTGATTCCTAATTTGCATTTTAAAACATGCCAGAAATATACTAAAGTGAACCTAAATGAAAGATTATTATCTATTTTAGCTTCAAGGAAGAAGAGAAGAGTGTATTACTTTGGCACTTTTTACAGTCTTGTCTGCTTGCACTCAAACCCATAAATTGCCAACCTGGGTGGCACTCCCCACCCCATGATTTAAAATGGCATCTAGATGTATTCAGTTAATGGGTAATTCATATCCTAAAATAAAGATAATAAAGATAATATAAATCCCATTTAGCCTACCTCCACTCTACTTCTGCAAAGCCATTTTCAAATGCAATTCTTATTAGGGGAGAAATTACAGTATTCTTAAATTACAAATGTACCTTATGTTATGCTTCAACTGTCCATCAACATATTCTCAAATAGTGCAAGTTAAACAGAAATTCCACGTGCCTGCCATTTCCATTTTTAAACTAATACTCTTCTATGATGGGACAGTTAGTACAACAGGTAACTAGGAGGAGGTCTTTATAACTTGCCTTCTCAGTGAGTGAATTACTTTTTATAACAAGATTCTTACATGAGAAACTAGAAATATAGAGCTCAAGATGCAGAGGGAAAAGTCTGGTTTTCGGGTCATAGGATTTTTCTTGAGAAAGTACAACATCTGGAGGGCCACATGTTCACCAGTCCGGTTTTAGAATGGAAACACTGTAAAGTTGTAATTTTTGGTGATATTTTCAGACTATTAAACCCCAGTAATGGTCCAAGCTGTCATATAGAGTACAGGTAAGCACAGGGAACTGGGAACTGCAAGAGCATCTACACAAGTAAGTATTTAAATAGTTATCATGCTTAGATAGGCACTACTGTCCAAACGATCCTTCCTAACTATCCCTATCTTAACCCACTACTACTAAATTCTGAAGGCGATAAATGAATATAGGCATTACTAAGCTCTCTGAATACAGAAAAATATAAAAACACAGAAACAAGAGAGGAAAAGGTTGAGTTTTCCTTATCTGAAGTGCATTGGGTTAGAAGTGTTTTGGATTTTCCCCCCAGATTTTGGAACACCTATTATCTGCATATGCACACAAAATGACATGAAACAAAGTCTGTGTATGTCAAACCACCAGAAAGTAAAGGTCTCTCTATTCCCATGGGAATAATTTTGGATTTTAGAGTAATTTGGATTTCAGAATTATGGATAAGGCATGTTCAACCAGTCCTAGGCACAGTCAAATACAATAAAATCAAAGTAAGGGTTACCCAAATTTCTCTTGCTATCATGCGGTGGTAAGTTTGCTGGGAAAACTACTGGTTTCGGCTTTTGTGGTACAGCTTCTTTGCAGTCTACCCCCATGTGTCCAGGACAACATCTCCATTCTAATTCAGTGACTGTCTTATACTTTATTACATATTTAGGCCTGAAACTTGTACGATATCTGCAATACATAAAAGTGGAAAGTAATGACAACCTTAGAATAACCAAATAGTTAAACAAACAAAATGTAAGTGGAATATTGCTGGAACAGGAAGTACTATCACAGTGGTTAAGAAATATCAATCCTTTAGCTACAATTGTTATGGATTTGTTCTTCAATTTGGAAGAAAAACTGCAATTTGCTTCTAAGTAAAATAAAGAACAGTACAACAGTATAATCACATTCTATCCAATTTTGGAAGCTAAGCAGGGTCTGCACTGATTAGTCCTTGGATGGGAGATGCCAATGAATACCCGGTACTTCATGCTATATTTCAGAAGAAGGAACTAGCAAAACCATTTGAGCATTCCTTGCTTGATTGGAATAGTCGTAAATTAACAGGGTCACTTGAAGCAACATAATTTAGTCATTATTATTTCTTTACGACATTTCTACCCTGCCTTTCTCCACCCCAGAAGGGACTCAAGAGAGCTTTCACATAGGCAACTACTCGATATCATAAGACTATGTACAATTAAGATAAACACTGAAATAGAATTATAAAATACATTTAAACCACTAAAAACATTTAAGGCAAAGTCTTCACAGTTAATCATGTAATCCTCAAGCATAATCTGGGCCATTCCAATAGTCACTGCACATCATTCCATATCTATCTATTGCATGAGTTCTCCAAAGGCTTAGTCACAGAGCCACATTTTCACTCTTATGGAAGGTCAGACGGGAGGGGGCTGATCTAATATCCCTGGGAAGGGAATTCCACAGCCGAGGGGCCAACACTGAGAAGGCCCTGTCTCTTGTCTCCTTCAGTCGCACCTGCAAAGGAGGTGGGACAGAGAGCAGAGCTTCCCCAGACGATCTTAAACTCTAAAATGGTTCATCGCGGGAGGTCTGTTTGGACAGGTAAGCTGGGCCAGAACCATTTAGGGCTTTATAGGCTAAAGCCAGCACTTTGAATCACGAATGGAGAATGCAAACTTTAGTCACTCAGTAGGAGAGACCTATAGCTCCAGTAGTTCCAATCCAAAGAATTAAATCAACACTTTTATCCAGGTCTTTTCCTACTTGTATTATGTATGTACTAGGGACACAGTACTGACACATCGCAATGTTCCTGCTAAAACGCCAGCTTCCAGATTGAGAGTCAAAACTTAGGGTGCATCTACACTATAGAATTTGTGTTTCAATGCTATAGAATCATGGAGAATGTAGTTTTACAAGGTCATCAGCCTTCCCTGCCAAAGAGTGCAGGTGACTCAAATTCCTAGGATTCAACAGTATTCAGCCATGACAATTAAAGTGGTGTCCAATTGCATTAATTCAACAGTGTTGAATTAATCAAACCTTTATCAAAGCACCCTTTGTCAAAGCAAACTACTGAGCATCATGGCAGAAAAAAATTAAAAACACAACTGTCTCACATCACAGGCCCCTGGTGGCACAACGGGTTAAACCACTGAGCTGCTGAACTTGCTGAACGAAAGGTTGGCAGTTCAAATCCGGGAGCGGGGTAGGCTCCCACTGTTAGGCCCAGCTTCTGCCAACCTAGCAGATTGAAAACATATAAATGAGAGTAGATCAATAGGTACTGCTTTGGCAGGAAGCTAACAACGCTCCATGCAGTCATGATGGCCACATGACCTTGGAGATGTCTATGGATAACGCCAGCTCTTCGGGTTAGAAGTGAAGATGAGCACCCCAACCCCTTAAGTCGGACACGACTAGACTTAATGTCAGGGGAAACCTTTACCTCGCATCACATTTTATCTGTTAAATTGTCTCAAGAAAAGTTATGAGGTACATGATGCATATACTGTATCTACTCCACTTAAAGGAAATACATAAAAGTGATTAGTCTCAAAGAATTATGGAACAACAGAACAACAGTGACAAAAGCTTAACAAATGAGTGACGAGGATTTCTTTTCTGTGCTAAAAGAGATCAGATACTGAACCAGCAAGTATATTGGAAACATAACATTTTTTTAAACTCAACAAAAGCCTTTGGCAAACCTTTTAGCAAAAAACAGGCCCGCCAGACACTGTGAGCTGGGCCAAACTCTGACTAAGGTTGTTACTCTGTTGCCTGCTCTGCTCTGTTAATAAAATATCTGGCTTAACTGGCTTAATTATCAATAAAAATATGTTTTAAAAATAAAAACAAGAACAAAAAAGATGTATAATGGTGTCCAGTCATACACAGTAATGTCAGGCACATTATATTTTTATTTCAATTATTGCCAAAACATCTGTCAAAGCCATTATTTCTGGCCAAGTATTAAAGATGGGAAGACAATATGCAGAGTAAGCCTATAAATGTTCACTTCCAGTTGACCCACTGTATTCTTTATACATAATGTAATTGTTTGCTGAAAACCAGGAGAATATATTTGTATAAACGTATGAAAAAATTCTGTAACAGAATATGGAAGATGGGGAAATTCTAACATCCTGGCCACCCATGATGTTCTTTCATCCCCATGTTCTCCTGCCTGTAATAGAAACCTACTCATTACAACACAAGCAATTTGGGTAGGATAGGTTTAAAAACTAACAGCTGTAGTCAGTGGCAAATGAAATACCAGTTTCTTTGTTTTTTTTAAACAAGAGGTTTTAAGTGATTTAGAGAGATATTATTACCATAACATTTTAAACCCTAAAAGTGACTTGGTAAGACTGATTTATACAGTATATACATTTCTGCATGCTTACTTGAAATACCTGGACTGAAACAATTGGGAAAATGTCTGGAAAACAAAGTCTTTTGGCAAAAACATTATATCTGTTCAAATTTTCTATGACTAATTTGTTTTGCCAAATATATATTTTGAGTATTGGAAATTTCAGTTACACTATTTTGAGATTATGTTGAGATTATTTCAGTAATGGATGAATGGTATTATTGGTAAATTACATTGTGCGGAAGAAGAGTGAATTATCTTAATCAGATCTCTGCATTTGAATTACTAAAAGTTATTTAATTTATTGAACACTTGTTTTTAAATCAGTGCAAATATATAATTCAATGTATTGTGTCCATCTCAATTTCTAATGGTCTCACAAGTTCCAAATGGCAATGGCCCCATCTAGACAAGCCCAAAAAGTGAGACCTGCTTTGGTTTTACTGGAGGCATCCAAATGATGCCTCCAGTAAAACCAAATTAATTCAGAATAAACCAGACTTTCCCTGGTTTGTTCCAAATTAATTAAACACCTGGTAAGGTCTGAATATTATGGTAAGATCTGGATCTTACCAGGTATGGACCCTGTGTGGATTGGACCCAGGGACCACATCATGCGATCCCTGGGCCCAATCTACACAGCTCTCTTGGTTGTGTGGATTGGGCACCTACCCCTTCCCCCCAAGAGGGCACCCACCCCCTGCCAAATGTCACCATAAAAATAAAATAAAACTTGCCTGGCCACCAGAATGCCCCTCCTCGCCCCTCCTGGCATGAGGAAATGATGTGCCAGGAGATGGGGAATCTAAGAGGGATTTTCTTCCTTGTCCCCCCCTCCCCGCCATGTCATGTCCTCGGTCCAGGAGAGCGTGAGGTGGAACATTATGGCAACCTGTGAGCTTTATTTTATTTTTATGGGGCTTTGGGGGGCTGCATGCCATCCTGACTGTAATCAGGATGGCATGTAGCCACAACCATTCAGGGAAAGCACAGTTTTTTTTGGTGGGAGTGGGGATGGAAATCTGTGGCAAAATGGGTTCTTAAAACCCGCTTTGGCTCAGATTTGTGGGCTGTCTGAAAGCACACAATAAAATCATTTGAATTACAAATTCTAAACCATGCCCTTTGTGTCCTTTATTTATTTATTTATTTTTTAAAAAAGAAATATCTATTCTACTGCTCTCATAAAACAATCATAGTATATATTTATTTAGGACTACTACTTTCAACTTTTTGTGTTCATTTTCAATGTTCAGAACAGTTATAATCAGGAATGAACTATAAATGAATAAACCAAACTGTAGATAGACACAAACAAGAGGTACATCTGGTTCTTGTAACTCCTAATTTGGAACTGAAAATCTCGTCTTCTCTTTCTGCTTTGTACGCAACACCAATTTAATGAGTCATCTCCAAGCTTCTGAGGTCTTTGTGAATCATTGTCTCAGAATGAGGACAATAGCCTCAGCATTGAAATATTGAATATGAATATGAACACACTGACCATAAAGTGAAGGGAAAATTGATGCAGCCTTAAACATGATCTGATTCAACATTAAGTGTCATGTTCCTTGCTAATCTTTTGATATTGATTACACTCATGAGATAAAGAACATTTATAAACAGTTCTCGTGGGTTAATCTCAGTTGGTAGATATAAATGCTTGTGAAAGTTTTATGAATTGTAAGGGACATTTTGGGGGACCTAGTGTCAATCCATACCCTTCCCCTCTATAGACTGCTCTCCTTCACATTGACCCATGGATTGTCCAGGACTACCATTCTTTCTGCAATATTAGCTTTCCACATTTTACTGATAATCATGACATTTCATTACCATCTTTAATACAGCATGCAGGTCAAGATTAAATCTGAGAAGCAGCAATGCACAGACACACATTGCTTGCATGTAGTCTGTGAAGTAGAATAGAGAATGAACAGCTTCTGGGTACACACCAATTGTTCTTCTTCATCCTGGAAAGAAAAGTGACTAGCGGGTTGACACATATTTCGGTCCTGGGCTCAATTCTGTTCAACATCTGTATTCATGACCTTGATGAAGTTTTAGAGTTTGCAGGTAACACCAAATTAAGAGGGATAGCTAAACTCCAGAAGACATGATCTGAATTCAAAACCACCTTAGCAGATTAGAGAGCTAACAAAACTAACAAAATGAATTTCAACAATGAGAAATTTAGGATACTACACTTAGGCATAAAAATGAAACGCACAGATACAGGATGGGCAACATCTGGCTTGAGTTCAGTCCGTGTGAAAAATATCTTGGAGTCTTCGTGGACAACAAGTTGAACATGAGCCAA